GAGCTGCCCTCCCGTGCCGTGCGTTTGAAGCTCTAGTTCGTGGAAACGTACCGTGGAAACTTATGCCAAGAAACACCCTGCTCGCCTCCAGGGTGCCCTGGGTTTCTTGGGTTTCGATTATTTTCTTATATATGGAAAGCGTGACGTTCCCATTTCAAAATTCAATAGACGTCCTGGGGTCTCAGGGTTTGGGTTCTTGTGGAAGGTTTCTTCTGGTTGGGCCCCTACTGCAAGAATCCATCATGCCGGAACTGGGGTTTTGCCGACGTTTTCTGACGAGCGCGTCCTGAACTTTGACGGTCCAGTTATCATGGGACGTTTGCAGCGGGAGCCCTCGTCAAATTCCAGATTGGTTCTCGTCAGCTTCATGATGGCTCATGCCAGCCCGAGTCCCCCGAACCCGAGTCTTACGGCTCTTAGACTCTAGTCGGCACTTCGGACTCCATGGCACATCGGTCCGACCGGAAAGACTGCAAATGCACTGAAGACATTTCCAGATGCCATCATGTAATTTGTATGCGAACCACCTGCACTCCCGACGCATGTGTATTTCATCTATGCCTGACACACGTGACCGTTGACTCATGTTATTAAACGTAGACCCACGAAACTCGCCGACGTCAATTTTTGAGGTCACCCAAGAGTAGCCAGTGACTGAAGCATGCTCAACATGGCGCCTAGCCTGGCGAATCCTCAGAAGCCCAAGAACGGGTGAGCGTAGTCAAGACTGAAGTTGTAATTGTATCCCTGCACGTGCACTGCGGAGGCCATGAACCCGTCGAGCGATTCCCTCCCCTCAGCGCAGAAGGGCGCTGCTTCGGAGTTCTTGCCGAACATCCTGTGAACATTGCGGTGGCCCAAGCACCACCATTGCGTCGCCTCCCTCGCAGGCCTCCGCCACCGCACTGGAAGACGCCGCCTTGCCCGTGCCACGAGAAACGCTGTCCAAGTACTACCATTTCTGAGATCGAAACTTCTTCGCCCACTGCGAACGAGAGTGGCACCCTGCATAAGTCTCAGCCAGGCCTAGCAGAACGTACTTGGACACGCTACCTGAATGTCCGACGTAACCCCATGACTTCGGACCAAGGCCCGTCACATTGCTGAAGCCGATTGTGAAGTCCTTGTCGCACTGCGCGCTGGCGCTGGTGCTAGGCTGGACCACCTCCGATGATGAGGCGCAGGATGACGATGTTGAAGCAATTGAGCCCTGCTGTTGACCATCATGGTATGCGCGACTCTGAAGGTGAGGAAGTGGCCGCCGTTGAATTTACTGCCTCAGTAGACTACGAAGGGGTGGCCGCCGCTGAACTCGTTCCTCCGCCACGTAGATGTCACGGTGGTATTGGGATGGCCCCAGCATCAGCAGCAGAGCTCCTGCAGCGCCTGCCGCGCTCGCCAGCCTGATCCTGTCGACCTCCGCCTTGGTGTCCTCCTCGGACGGCGCTGCCGAAGCCAGTGGGCCAGCTGCTCCTTCGGCTCCCGCTGCGGTGCCATCCCCGCTGAGAACACGCCTCTTCTTCTGAAAGCAGTCCTCGATGGTGTCCTTCCTTCACTTGGCCACCTCCTCGGCCTTGGAGGTGATGGACTCATTCACTGCCAGCAGCTCCGTCTCGTTTCGATGCAGCTTCTCGTTCTTCTGCGGGCTGCAGTCGAGCCCGTCCAGCTCCTGGAAAAAGTCGGTGTCACACGTGCGGTGAACATGGGTGGGGCGGCGGCGTCTGGCGCCTCCGCCTCGGGGGCCTGAGACTCGAGCTTGGTATCCGTCTCCTTGGCCAGCGCCTCACCCGCCTCCCCGCGGTTCAGCTCAGCCAACGCCAGGGACCTCGCCATCTCGGCTGTCCTCGCGCGGCCCTGAACGAGGTCCTCCCCCAGCCTCTGCACCTGCTGCGCCCTCTGCTGGCACCTGGCGCTGGCGTCCGTTCAGGCGCCCACAGCCCTGCGCACTGCCTCCTCGGCCGCCTGCGGCTTGGCCGCGGCTGCCGACTTCTGAGACACTTTGAGCTGCTGCTCGAGCAGCTTTTTGACCTTCGGGTCCACGACCACCGGCGGCGTACCCGACAATGCAGCCAACGCGGTGTCGCTGCCGCGCGCGGCGCCCGAGGAAGACGAAGGTGCAGGGGGAATACGCTCGCTGGAGGTCGCTGCCTTCCAAGTTTTCCTTGCCGCCGTTGCCGCCGCCGTTCGACTTTGGCACGTACATCTTCCCTGTGCGGTGGCATTCGCGGCACCTCTTATCATTCTGCATCAACTTGGAGTTGATTTCATGAGTGCCGCATCCCGCGCATGTTCTCCACGCATTAGCCGGTGCGAGAATGAGGAGACAGGCGAGGGAAGAAAGCCCGCTTAGGCCGACGGATTCCTTTGCACTGGTGTGCGGGTGATTCGCTGCCCCTCGAGCACCACGGGGAGGCGTGGGGTTGGCCGAGTGCTGCCAAAATGGCGCGCTCGGGCCAGAACCGCTGGAGGAGGAGGAGGAGGAGGAGGAGCAGGAGGAGTAGGAGGAGGAAGAGGAGGAGGAGGGAGGAGGAGGAGGAGGAGGACAAGGATTACCCACCACCCAGTATCAGTCGATTGGGAAGATGTCATAGGTGAGTGGCGTCGCGTCCCGGATTTCGACGTTGGGGAGCCTGTCCGAGGTGACTCGGGATGAAGAGTTGTGCCCGAGTAAGAGGGGTCGACGCTCACGGCGCACGCGAACTTTTGAAGCTCTGGAGATGGCGACTTTGTGCGCCTCTCTCCGCTGCCCCCCTTCGATCCAGTGCCTGCAGCTTCTCCCGCTCCCCGCCCGGCCTCGAGGCGGCGGCGAGGCAGCCGTCGCTGCTGTGCCTTCTTCCCTCCTCCCCCATCGTTCCTCCCTCATTCAGGAGGAAAAGAAATACACAGACACAATTAATCGTCGATTCCCCAGAAAATATGGGAAAATATGGGAAGTGGGGGGGGAAGACAAAAACCCAGAAAATATGGGAACATATGGGGAATCTTTTTATTTGTGTGTATTTATTTGTGTGTCCTGGGGCCCCTTCACTCATCCTCTTTCATCTCCCCTCGGCTGCTCGGCTCCCCTGCATTCCCTCCCTGGATGCCCTTCCTCCCCATCCCTCCTCCTCCCCTGCTTCTCTCCTCCCCTTGCTCCTGCTCCCTCATTTGCCTGCTGACGCTCACGCTGTCGGCATGAATGTCGATAGCTTAGACGTTTCGACGTTGCCACCCTTTTACCTGCTTCTGCTCCTCCCCCGTCACAGGCAAGCGTAGCACGCCCAGCCAGGACCCGACAGGCACGCGCACGCGCTGGCGGGAGCGCACGTGACAATAGGGCCCGCCCTGCTCTGAAGTCTTCTCTCTGTCCCTCTTCCCCGGCTCTGGCCGCCCCCTTAGGCCACCCGGCCATCCCGGCCACGCCGCCAGAGTGGCCGGGGAAGGGTGTCGATCTGACGGGCGATGGGTGAGGGCATGTGCGCCTCTTCCGCCCCTCGTCCTTCTTCGAGCGCCACCGCGACGCCCCCCTGCGCCGCCGTGACCCCTGGCGCCGCTGCAGGAGTTTGTGGAGCGGGCCCGCGCGAAGCTCGCGGAGGACCGCCCCGGGCCCTGGGAGACCGGGTCGCTCCTGGGGGCGGTGTCCATCCTGGAGAAGAGGTTCCCAGGGCTGGACCTAAACGCTGTTTTGTTGGACTTCGGCTGTGTTTTGTTTTTTGTTTCGGCAGGGAAGGTGCAGGAAAGCAGGTACGTAGAGCAAAACGAACAACAAAACGAAAACATAACGAAAAGCAACGTTTAGGTCCAGCCCTGGAGGTTCCAGCCGATAGGGGACCTGCTGCCTCTGCTGATCCGCGCCCTGCCGGAGGTGGTGCAGGCGACCGCCGGCCGTCAGAGGAGGGGAAGGTATCGCTGCCCTTGCCGCGTTTTCTCATTTTTGGGCCTCCTGGGAGGCCCTCGTCGTCACCTCGGGGGAGGAGGAGGAGGAGGAGGAGGAGGAGGAGGAGGAGGAGGAGGAGGAGGAGGAGGAGGAGGCGAAGCCTCGAAGTCCTGGTCAGAACGGACCGCCGGGCGGCACCACAGAGCTGGGGGCGGGGGGGAGGTGCACCTCCCTGGATCGGAGGGCGTCAGCTTCACCTCTGCACTGGCCCTGACCCCGAGATCCGACGTCGGCTTGGCGAGGAAGGCATGTTCGCCAAGCCTGGGCCCAGGACTGGCCCGGCCAGGATTCGGTGCAGGTGTACGGTTGGCGCCCTGCGACTGGGGGGCGATCCCGCCCCTCTGCCTCCTAGGAGGCCTCTGGGCGAGTGCCGATCCCCTCTGAGAAGCCCTCTCCTCCCCCTCCCTCCTCCTCCTCCTCTTCCTCCCCCTCCTCTCTTTTTCCTCCTCCTCCTCCTCCTCCTCCTCCTCTTTCTCTTTCTCCTCCTCCTCCTCCTCCTCCTCCTCCTCCTCCTCCTCCTCCTCCTCCTCCCCCTTTTCCTCCCCTCGCCCCCCTCCGGGCTCTTGTGTGAACGACTCCAAACTTCATGTGGCCAAGCAGCAAGCCTTCGGTCACATGACTGTTGCATTCGATTGCTCGGGCGGTTCTTTGCTTTTCATGTGCCTGGGGTGCAAGTGTCATTCTTCAGGGGCTTCGATCAAGGGCCTTGGCGCTATATGTGTCGTGCCGCCGTCACGTGCTACCCGATCTGGCTGGATAGCAATGTGCAAAGGCAGGCGTCCGCATGACTCGAAACAGATGCTCAATGTGAAGGTTGATCTCGACAATTGCATGGCTTGTCCAGAAAATGAACTTGGGCATCGGTGGATGTGCCCGTCGTCCACGGCTAATTTGTCCTCAGTGCTCGTGGTTGGAGGCCTCCGGGACTTCTCTTTCAAGGCTTCCGCCGAATGGCTCCAGAAACTTGTTCGGCCGATTGAGGTTTACAGGAAGGACAAGGAGTAGGAGTAGGAGGAGGAGGAGGAGGAGGAGGAGGAGGAGGAGGAGGAGGAGTTCAAGGGCTTGGTGTTTGCAAGATTCGCAAATGAAGTTGACGCGTCCCTGGCGCTTCAGACTCCTGAGGGACAAGCTTACGGCCGAGAACTTGGGGAGGGAGGCGAAGAACAGGATCTGGTGTGATGTGGAGGCCCCCATCGAGGTTCGGGTCTACACCGGCTTCTTGAGGAACCTTCGCAATCAGCTGGTCGAGTGGAAGTACTCCCAGAAGAGCGTCAAGATTGACCGTGACGCCGGCGCGCTCAAGGTCCAGGGGGAGGAGGTGGTCCAGGTGAAGGTCATCAACTACGAGTTCATCATCACTTGGATGAAGGAGGAGTGGAAGACTTGGGACGAGCTTCAGAAATCTCGTGAATTGGAGCTTCTTGTCCGCACTTCCAAGGAGAGGTTCGCAAAGAGCCGGGAGAGCACGTCAAAAGGGGCAGGCAAAGGCCTGCCACAGTGATGGGGCCCTGAGAGCGTGGACTCAGTTTCACCCCGCGCGGACAGAAGCTTCGTTCCGGGACTTAGGGAGTTCAGGCCCGAGCCTTCAGGTAAGCCGGTTTTGAAAGACAGCGTTGTCTGCGGCTTCTGGAACGTCAAGGGGCTCACGGACCTGACGCTCATCGGGCTAATGGGGCACATGCACGAGTACCACATCTACGTATTATGTCCACAAGAGACCTGGGTGACGCAAAGCAGCGTGAGGGTTGAGGATTATCACATGGTTATCTTTTCTGGGAGCGATTCTGGTACGAGGTCATGGGTGGGTGTTGGCTTCATCATCGCCCCACGGTGCAGGAGGTATGTAAAATCCTTCAAACAAGTATCGGACAGGCTATGCACTTTGAAGTTCTGTGTGAATGGAGGAGTGTTGGGAATTCTTACGGCGTATGCTCCTCACAATGGCAAAGCCCTGGATGAGAGACGCTGCTTCTTTTCTCAATTGGACGCAGAATGCCGGCCCCTCTCTGCCAACAAAGGCAAATTCATATTTTGGCGATCTCAACGCACGGTTGGGTGCACAGTTACCCGGGGAGGAAGACATCATCGGCGACCGCGCATTCGGCACCCGGGTCCGCGACAACGGGGACATACCCAACAGAGATTTGCTCATGGAGTTTTGCGCCAGCAATCCTCTCATGGTGGCCAATACTTTCTTTGAGACCAGTTTGGGCGGCAAAGCAACGTATGTGGAACCAGGGCGCAGTCGGACAGAGGCGGTCAGCAGCAATGGATTCAATATGCTTGATTTGATGTTGTGCCAGGTCGACAACCTTCCAGACGTGCGAAGCATTGCTGCGAATCGTCAGGCGGTGGTGGCTTCTGATCACTTTCTTGTCTGTGCCGACTTGGAGTTTGAGCCGCGCAAGGGCGGCGAACATGTTGTGCGAGAGCACAGCGCACAGGCGTTGCAAGGGGAAGAGAACAGAGACGCATTCGCATCGGCCTTCAACGGGTACTTGAAGAGAGCCACGAAGCCGGAGGGCGGCGCCGGAGACATGTGGAACATCACGAAGGAGGCCATGACACGAGCAGCGCAGACGCTACCCCAAGCGGCGCGCAGAGCCCACAAGCCTTGGATTACTGATGCCACGTTGCGTCTGCTCGAGTTGAGACGGGGGGCGCGCGCGAACGGGGGCAGCGCAGCAGAGAAGCGCTACCGCAATGCAGCTCGGAGACAAGCGAAACTTGACAAAACCCGCTGGGCAGGCGATCAGCTAAGCTCTGGCAGCCGGCGACATATCCGCAAGTTGAGAAAACCGAAGCAGCCCGTGAACGGCAAGCTGAGAGATCGGACGGGCAACCTCGTGGAGAGTGACAAGTGGGCGGGCGCCATGGCTGATCATCTCGAACACGTGCAGTGGCACGCGCGGCCGGCGGGGCTGATAGACGGTCCGCCGCTTGGCAGCGAGCTTCCGGTCCAAGTGGGAGCTTTGACGCAGGCAGAAGTCTGGATGGCTGTCAAGAAGCTGCGGAAGGGGAAGGCTTGCGGGCCCGATGACATCCCCGGGGAGTTCTGGCAGTGCGTGACGGACACGGAGGAAGGCCTCGCATGGCTGACGGAACTCTGCAACGCGGAGGAGACCCCTGCTGACTGGCGCGCTGCTCGGGTTGCATCCATTTACAAGAAGGGCAGCGTCGAGGATTTGTGACAACTATAGACCAATCAGCCTCATCTGCGTCACGTGCAAATTGTTTGCGACCGTGCTGCTGCGACGCTTGCAGGGGGTCTGGGCGGAACGGCGACTGACGACAACACAGTTCGGCTTCCGGTCAGGACGAAGCACGCAGGGCGCTATTTTCGCGGTCAGAAGGCGGATCGATCAAGAGCTCGCTTGGCAGAACGGTCACGTCGGCGTCCTCGCTCTAGACTGGAAAAAGGCTTTCGACTCGATCAACGTGGACGCCATGATCACGGCGCTGGGGCGCTTCGGATTACCGGACAAATTCTCGCGGATGGTCCGACGTATCTACATTGACCGGACATTCACGGAGATTGGACAAGCCACGTATTCTTCTGAGAGGACGCAGAGATCAGGCATTTCACAAGGCTGCCCACTTTCGCCATTCATCTTCGCGATGCTGATGACAGCCATCGCGCACGACGCCGCAGAGCGGATGCCTGGAGAGAATCTGCACTCGGATGGCGACGCGGGCAAGGAGCTGCACGGCAAAATCGGCCACGCTTGGGGCGGTTTCTGCAAGCTGAAGCCGCCGTCAAACAACTGAACGGCTTTTACTGTTTATGTTTGCGCCAGATTCTTCACATAACACATTCTTGCTTCTCGAGGATCTCCAACGAAACTGTTCTGAAGGAGGCGGGGAAGCAGCCGTTGAACCGGCGACTCCTTCAACGACAACTGTTATCATATAGCGGGGTGGCAAGGGCGATGGAAGATGATGTTCTAAGGCGCAGGACATTTGTGCAGGGAAGCTTGACCCCTCTCACGCAGAAGTACGTCAGGAAGATTGGCCACCCCAGGAACGAATGGTCAGCTCAGATTGGTAAGGTCGCTGCGCAGTTGAACGTCGATGTGAGTGATGCAGAAGCATGGAAGCCTATAGTCGTCAATTTCTGCATGGGTAGCTAGTTTGCACGAGTCCGCGCGCCTAGGGCGTATGACTTTTCGTTCGTTCGTTCGTTCTGACACCTTCGTTTTCGCTGACACGGTGCCGCCGGTAGACTCTTTCGATTTGCCTCTGCAGGAGACGCAGTCTGTTGAGGCGCACCGAGTCGCGGCGCAGCTCCGATCCGAGGCGGGGGAGGAGGTCGGGGTCGTGTCGCTCGGGGGATGCAGGCTCCTCGCCGAGTGGCGCAAGACTTCCAAGAGGAGGATGGCAGACGCCTTCGGGTCACGCTGCACAGGGACAGCACCAGAGAGGACTCCGATTCGATGGGCAAGCGTGCCACGGTTGCGTGCGTGTAGATTCACCTCTCGCGGCCTTTTCCTGTGCCGTGTCGTGTGCTGGCTCTTTGCGTCCGCGCTGCCGCTCCTGCAGGCTGCGGCTTTGGTTTTCCCCGAGCCCGTTTTTTATTGCTTGGGGCATGACGGGCATCATGGCACCCGGCCCCCCTCCTTCCTATGACGTAGCGCTCCCCCCCCGTGAGTTCCAGGCACTGCCGCCGTGCGCATCGTGATCCGCATATTCCCCATAGGAGTCTGGTCCGCGTCGTCGTCGTCGTCGTCGTCGTCGTCGTCGTCGTCGTCGTTGTCGTCGGCGTCGTCGTCGTCGCTCGTCGCTCGTCGCTGGTCGCTCATCGTCGTCGTGCGCGCGGACGCAGCTGGAGCCTGTTTTTTTGTTTCGGGCCGATGACGGCAATCATCTGGGGGGTGGAGGGGGGCGATGACGTCGCGCCTTGCGCCGGCGGCGTCTGGGAATGCTTAGGAATCGCCGAAGACGGGTAGCAGCAGCATGTCGGTGGCGAGCTGCGCCACAACGCCTGTGTACACCATGGTGTTTTCATGCACCACAGCGCTTGTGTACACCACACAGCCTATGTACACCACAGCAGCCGCGTGCATCACAGCGCCCGTGTGTGCCACAGTGCCTGCTGGCACCACAGCGCTTGTGTACACCACATCGCCTGCATACACCACATCAGCCGTGTGCAACATAGCGCAAGTGTACGCCACAATGCCTGCGTGCACTCAGCACGGCACCGGTGAATAGACCAGTCTGCGGTGCACGCTGATACGCGCACGTGCGATGTAATGCCGACCCGCGCGACAGGGGGAAGGGTGAGGGATGAGGAGGAAGACGACGAGGAGGAGGACGACGAGGAGGAGAACGGGGAGGAGGAGGAAGAGGTGGAGGTGGAGGAGGGAGGAGGGAAAAACGTCGCATTTCATTATCAGCACTTCCCTGGCGTGGCGTTTAGTTGTCCGCAGCAGATCCTCACCGACATGCTCCTTTTACCTGTCCTGTGCACGCAAGCGCCCTGGTGTACACCAGCGTTGCGTTACACGCGGATGCTGTGGTGTAGACAGGCGCTGTGATGTGCACATGCGCTGCGGTGCACGTAAGTTTTGTGGTGTAAATCAGGCGCTGTGTTGCACATGGCTGCGCTGCTGAAGTGTACACATTCGCTGTGGTGTGTACCGGCGCTGTGGTGCACGCAAGCACTGTGGTGTACACAGGCGCTGCGTTGCACACGGCTGTTGCGGTGGACGCAGGCGCTGTGGTGTACACAAAGCGTTGTGGTGCACGCGAGTATTGTGGTGAACGCAGGCGCTGCGGGGCATATCGCCACCTACATGCTGCTCGCGTCGTCGTCGTCGTCGTCGTCGCTTGTCGCTCGTCCGTCGCTCGTCGCTCGTCGCTCATCGTCGTCGTGCGCGCGGGCGCGGCTGTGGCGCTGGAGCCCCGCGGCGGGGGGGGGCGTTACGTCATAACCCCCAGTGCCCCCCGCCCATGACGCCCGTCATCGCCGATGATAAAGAAATGCGTTCTTTTCGATGCGTGATCCGCCGGCTCGCCCTGCGGAGCCGTGCGGACCCGCCGCGCTGTCCGAATGCGAGGCTTGCGTGGGCAGTGTGCTCCGCCTGCCGACTGTCCTTCTGGCCGCGCGGGCCTCGGGCTGTCGGCCTTGGGTCCCGCTTGCGGCGAGGCGGGCACGACGCAGGCGGCAGCCTCCCCCTTCTCCCCTTTTTGCCACCGCTGCATTCGCAGCGGTGGCCTCTGGCCCAGCTGGCCTGGCCACTCGTGCCACGGCCGCTGGCCTCCTTTGGCTGGTGCAGTGCCAGACTGTGCCCTCAGGCCCTCGGAGACGCCCGCGCTCGTCTGGGTTCCTGGCTCCGTGTGCCCGTCCTGTGCGGGTCGGTCACATGTTACGCAGCGTTCGTGCTTCTGTTGTGCAGCTTCGCAGGCGGAGCATGCCGGCAGGTCCCGCACATCCAATTCGTTGCACTCAGCGGTGGGCCTCTTCTGAGGTCCGCCCGATGGACGGGCTCGTCGTCTCCTAGCACCCCCTGCGGGCGGGCGTTGGGCGGCGACGAATCCGCCCAGCCGCCGTGGACGGCCCGGTCGTCTCCCAGCACCCCGTGCGGGCGGGCCTCTGGCGGCGACAAGGCCGCGGCTGTTCGGTCGTCGGACGGCTCTCTGAGGCTCCTGAGCTCCTGAGCTCCTCCTCCTCCTCCCTCCTCCTTCCTCCTTACTCCTCCTCCTCCTCCTCCTCCTGCTTTTCCTCCTCCTCCTCCTCCTCCTCCTTTTCCTCCTCCTCCTCCTCCTCCTCCTCCTCCTCCTCCTCCTCCTCCTCCTCCTCCCCCGCCCCCTAGCTCGGAGGGCCCCGTCCCGCGGCGATGCGGCAGGCCAGGCTAGAGCACTCGAGGCCTCCCAGGTGGAGAGGCTCCGGGTTCGAGGTTTTCTGGTGTGCAGTCGAGACTGATCAGCAGGTACACCCGGCCACATCGAGGGTGCCCGTGTGCCCTGTGTTTTGCGGCCCATGCCTTGCACGTTCCTGTGGCAACGCTGCCCCCGGGAGGGTCTTGTGTCCTCGCGCTTGTCCTCTCTGATCAGCCCCGAGTGTATTCGAAGGCTCCTGGAGGCAGCCCTGCTTCGGAGTGCGCTTCGGCAGCGCGAGGGTACTATGGGGCATCGCCAGGCCAGTTCTCCAGGATGGGGTCGGAGACGATGGGGTCGGAGGATCGCGCTCCGCAGCGTCCCGGCGCTGCGCGCGCGCCAGGGAGGGGGGGCCCGCGCCGATCCAACAGATCATAGGCCTGCTAAGGAGATTCATGCTTGCGGGGGTCAGGGTTGAAACTTTACAATTGTTATGTGATGTGGTCGCGTTCCCAAGAAACGTTGAAGGGCTTTGTTGTTTTGTTGGGCGCAGCGGTCTCCTTTGAAGCGCATCAGGATTTCGAAGAAATCAAGATCTTGCAACGCAGCGTCATTGGTTTCGTCTTCGCGAGGGTCGGAGGGCGTTGTGGTTGAAAATCAACATTCCAATAGATGTGTGGTGTTGGGGCGACTAGCCATTTGTTCGGCTCAGGAGCGGAAGCCTGGTAATGTTCAGGTTCTGGTGGACATCTAGCCCGTCATCCGAATATCGGATGCGCCAGCAGGGGTGAGTCGAACATTGCCACCAGACTCGTAATTAGGCCCCCAGTGCGCTCCACTTGCTTTTGGGACGCACCCGCAGCGGCGGCGAGCGCCCGCGCATTCGGCTGCCCTGGGGGGCCCTTCTCACTCGGGAGCCCTGGGGGCAGCGGGGGAGGGAAAACGGGTTCGACTATGCCGACATTCGCGCGTAAGCTGCCCGCGTGGGGTCGCGCGTAAGCGCCCTCGTTGCCAATGCAGCGTTCCGCGCCGGCGGCTCGCATAAGCCACCGCGTAAGGTCCTTGTGCCATCTCTCGTAAGACCCACTTCTTTTCGTCGTTCACATGCACTTGGAGTCTATAGCAGTGGCGCGGCCTTGGTGAAAGATCCCCTTGCTTCGATCGAAGCCTTCTGCCGTTTCTTGACGCGGCGCGGCGATGTTCCTTTCTGGTCCGCGCGGTCTGCGCGAAGACGTGCGCATGGGCCTGTAAAGAGCCCCACCAAATGCGGTGCCTACAGCGACGGTGCCGACAACTGCATATGGTTGGGTCTTGCGCCGGGCTGATTTCTGTGCGTTGTTGCTGTGGAACACTTGTGTTTTAGCCGCGCGGCAGGGATGGTTCCCATCGATCAGGAGGGGGAACGCACACAGACACAGTTCATCGTCGACTCCCTGGAACATGTGGGAACACGTGGGGAGTGTGGGGAGACGACCACCCGGGAAAATACGGGAAAGCATGGGGACACTTTTTGGTTTGTGTCTGCTTATATCCGTGTCCCTCGGCCCCTCCTGTCCTCGAGCGGACCCGCGCGGGGGCCCGGCGGGCGGGGAGCCGCGGAGGCTCCTGAGAGCGGGGCGGTGGGCTCACCGCCTCTAGATTCTCGTGGCGCCAGCAGCGCAGAGCGGATGTCTTTCGGAAAACTTCTCCTCTTCCTCTTTCACCTTCTCCTTCAACTCCTCCTCCTCCTCCTCCTCTTCCTCCTCCTTCAACTCCTCCTCCTTCAACTCCTCCTCCTCCTCCTCCTCCTCCTCCTCCTCCTCCTTCAACTCCTCCACTCCTCCTCTTCCTCCCGCTCCTCCTCCCCTTCCTCCTCTTCCTTCACCTCCTCCAACTCCAACTCCTCCTTCTCCTCCTCCTCCTCCTCCTCCTCCTCCTCCTCCTCTTCCTTCTTCAACTCCTCCACTCCTCTTCCTCCTTCTGCAACTCCTCCTCCTGGTTTTTCCTCCTCCTCCTCCTCCTTCTCCACTTCCGTCAACTCCTCCCCTCCTGCTCTTCCTCCCCATCCTCCTCCTCCTCCTCCTCCTCCGTCAACTCCTCCTCCTTTTCCTCCTTCAAATCCTCCACTCCTCTTCCTCCTCCTCTTGCTCCTCCTCTTCTTCCTCCTTCAACTCCCCCTTCTCCTCCTCCTCCTTGAACTCCTCCTCCTCCTTCTGCTCCTCTTCCTCTTCCTCCTCTTCCTTATTCTCCTTCTTCTCTTTCTCCTTCTCCTCCTCCTCCTCCCCCTCTCTCCTGTCATGGCGCCAACATCGCGGAGCGGATTGCGCTCGGAAAACACTGGGACGGACCCGCAAGGTCCTTCAGAATTTCGCCCCAGAATTCGAAGTTACTTTCGTGCGGATTGTTTTCTGCCATGGAAGAAGGCCACGAAGCATCCAAGCGAAAATCACTTCGTTTGTCGCTCGCCGTTTAGGGGACTTGCTTCGACAGAAGTCCTCGCAACAAGCCGCTACAGCTTGTCTGCAATGTTGGTGCATTGATAATTCAGCAATGCAATGTGTTCCCGAGGTGCAGTTTTCGCCCAGGACTTCCTCAACAGTAAAAGGTTTCTGGAGCGGTTTCTGGCCTCTATTTCCATGCATCGGTACGTTCCGTGGTTGACAGCGCTTCATCAGTGACCGAACACAGACGCATTCGTTTCGCCTGATACATCCTCGCCCACGTGCTGATACGGTTGGGGGCGTTGGTTCAGGAATGCGCCCAGGAGTCTGCAGACCCTGGAGGATTTCTTCACTGATAAGGGCGGCGGTGATATCCATGGCCAAGCTTCGATTGGAGATCCACCGTTCTCCAGACCCTGGACTCCTTATCTACGGGTTCCTTATCCAATGCCCCCACCGTATCAGTTCAGGTTTCGGCAGCCTTCTTCCGGGTGCTCGAACGCCATCGCAGTTCCACACTGTTATGCGTCTGGCGTGCTCGCCGAGATCGGGGACCGCGATCGCTGCGCTGCGTTTCTGGAGGAGCGTGCGCCTGGCCTCCCAAGACGCGCCGGCTCGAAATGTCTTTCGAGTGCAATGCTTTCGCCACGGGCGAACGATTCGCAGGAAAAAGTGACCCAACTCCATTGGGACCACCCCCTGATTCGTTCCTTGCACCGATCTCCATGAGGGTAGTCAATGTGGCCAGTGGCCAAATTCGTTTTCCCTGCGTAATATGCGCAACGCTGTCGGCGTTAACGCCTCTGTCCCCTGGATCCTGGGATCAACGCGGACGGCCTCAGAACTTGTATCCCTTTATTGCTATGCACGATACGGGCGGCCACACAGCAGTATTTCTCCGGGGCCATGAATGATGTTAGCGCTTGTGAAGCCGAGATCCCCCCAGGACTGGAATCGCAAAGGACGGCGATCGATGTGACACTTCATCATGGCGGGGAGTGTGAGCGCTGCTCATGAGAGGGTGTGACGGCGAGACTGACATTTGTATTGGCAGTGTGGACGTTAGCGCATGTGCTGACTCCTGATGATATTGGTAACATGCGCGATAAGCAGCCACGTATATATATATATATATATGTACATCTTTCTTATGTGTGCATCCAATAACCGACTCGTGCTGGCGCGAACGCAGTTGGAAAGCCAAGGCATGGTTCATTGATCCCCGAAGTGTGAATCGCATGAGCAGGCGAAATGAGAAATCCGGGTCGAGCTCTGCACGTTTCCGTTGATGCAGTTATGTTCTTCTTCTACAGTCGGGGCCCTGAAGAAGGAACCCTTTTGGTTGGGGAGGGGCTCCGCATTCCTTAAGTGTTTTGCAGTTCGCCTTTTGTTTTGCTTAGGGTTTCGATGGGAAATCGAAGTTTAACTTATGGAAAAAAAGGGGCCTCGTTCCTTATTTAGGGTTCCTTGGGTCAGCGCCCCGACTGTACTCTCAGGAGATGTCAGTGAAGAGCCTGCTGCGGGCCCTGAGCTCGCTGAGCCACCTGCAGCCCCGATTCCCTGGCGTCAAGACGGTTGTGCCGTCTCTGATCGAGCAGATCGTCGCGAGAATCGACGCCATTGGCGATCTTCCTCGCGAGAGCCCGCCTCTGGTCAGGGTCATCCGCCACTTGGGCAGCCTCGAGCTCTCGGGACCCGTTGCCAAGTCGTTCCTCGCAGAGGCTGTGCCCCGCCTGCGCGGGGAAGTGCTGAAGGGCATGGACATGCGGGCGCTCGCATCGCTCGCGAGGGGCCTCGCGCAGCTGGGCGAGCAGCCGACGGAGCTGTTCGGGGAGATCGCTGATCTGCTCGCGGAGCGCAGAGATGACATGCGGAAGAAGCTGGACATCGCAATCCACCTGCCGATGATCCTTGGCGCTTTCGCCCGGGCGGCTGTGTACAACGACAGCCTGCTCGAGACCGTGGCGACGGTGTGGATGAAAAAGGGCAATCTGAGAAAGATGAAGGGCTGGACCCTTTGCATGATGATGTGGGCCTGGCCCTGGCAGTCCGAGGGCGAAACCGCAAAGGTCGTGAGCAACTTCCGCTCACGCCTGCAGATGAGGTTCAAGGAGAGCAGCGTCACCGACGAGATGGTGGACTCGGATGCAACGCCTGGGAGGGCAAATTCTGGTGTTGCCCTGGCTTGAAATCTGGCTTAATCCGGCTTGTTCCAGCTCAATCCTGCTTAATCCCGCTTAGTGTTGCTTAATCCCGCTTATTCGCAGCCTGACCCTGCGTGGTAGCCCCCCAGTGGGGCTTGATCCTCCTGATTTCTTTCCGGCGAACACCTCCCAGTAGTTACCTCCGAAGGTGGAGTTCGCGTGGCGAGGCCCGGAGGCGTTCGATGAGGTGTACCCCAAGCAGCCCCTCCCCAAGAAGCGCCGCGGCAGGGCCGACGCTGGCGCTTGGGAGGCCGCCGGGAGAGGAAATGGTACGGCATAAGATGGTGGGCATGTTTTCCGCCGCCACCACCATACGTAGGAGGGGGATGGGGGTCCTCCTCCTCCTCCTCCTCCTCCTCCTCCTCCTCGTCTTCATCTTCGTCCTCCTCCTCCTCCTCCTCCGCATCCTCCACCTCCTTCCCCCCTCCAACTTATGGTGGTGGTGGTGGAAAACAGGGCCATCGCTGGAAGGAGAGGCGACGCCACCACCACCCGGGGTGGCCACCGCCAGCGAGTGGTCCACGATGCCTCCCCGAGCTGGGGATTGGGGACATCTCGAGCAAGAGTGTTAGGGAAGACGATCAATGGAGAGAAGGCACATTGCCAAACATGTTCCAGATATGCTCCTAAAGTGCTGAAGCATGTTTTGTCTTTTTGACACATGCTTCGAACATGTTCACGACATGCTGAGTACAGCTCAAAAGGGTTTTTAATTCAATGATAGAAAACAGTCAGAGTGTCCATGCCCATGGCCTCCACAAAACAAGAGTGGGACCACGGCACCATGAGGGCGCCTCGCGCTGTTAGTGGTGGTACCGCTTGTCCTTGAGCCCAGGCGTCAGACGAGGCGCGGCCTCCAGAGGTGTCGACCCTTTCCCCGGGGGCAGTTTCTCGTACTGGATCCGTCGTTGGATGGCTCCGGGGCCCGATAACGGGCCCCAGAGGCCGAAATCGAGGAACAATTCTTTTACGGCAAGCGCCTGTGACGCCTCCACGCAGCGGCGGCGCCGGCGCTTTTCCAAGGCCGCCGAGGTCCCTCGGCCCCTGTGGTGTCTTTTGGGAGAGCATCAGCCTGTGGCGCGAGGTCCGCAGAGGAGACGATGATGTCGATGACGATGACAATGTCGTCATCTTCATCGTCATCGGCATCGGCATCGGCATCGGCATCGGCATCGGCGTCGTCGTCGTCGTCGTTGTCGTCGTCGTCGTCGTCGTCGTCGTGTGGGGTCGACGGTTCCCTTGGGGGGCCTCCGAGGGCGGGGTTCAGCTCAGGGTGGTGCGAAGCGCTCGGCGTCGGACACCCGGGGCCCGCGTCAGGCAGTGCAGGAGCCTGCCGCGCGGTAGGCTCGTGGCGTGTCGACGTGTCGACAGCCCGGGGGGGGGGCCTCCGTGGGCGGGGGGTATCTCAAGGTGTCCTTCTTCTTCTCCTCCTCCTCCTCCTCCTCCTCCTCCTCCTCCCATCCTTCTCCTCCTCCTCCTCCTCCTTCTCTCATCCTCCTCCTCCTCCCATCCTCCTCCTCCTCCTCGGCCCCCGCCTCCTCCTGCTCCGCCTCCTGCGATCCCGAGGGCTCGCGCGTCACCCCCAGCGCCCACTGCTGGAGCCAGCCGTGCGGCAGGTTCGTGTCGTGTCGAGGTGGTGGCGACCCCGCGGGCGTTTGAGGTTGAGCGCCGCCGGTGACAGCCGGCCAAGAGGGAGCCATCGATCTGGCGACCGAGTCGCGCGGATCGTTCCAGGTTGAAGGATCCACGCGGTGTCGGAAATCGACGCCGAAGTCGTCACGATACGAACCCGCCGTGCTCACCACCAGGCCACCGTAGGCCACATGCCACGGTTTCCGTGAGCATCCTCTCTCTGCACGCCACAGGTTGGGCAATAGTCGCACTTCTGGGACGACCTTCGTCTGGGTCCCTGGGGACCTTTAGAGGGCCCTGGAGGACTCTGGAGGAGATGCGAGACAGAGACGTCAACCGCTTTGGTGGCTGTCCTTCTCGGCGGCGAGCAGAGCCAGAAACGTCCAGAAGCCTCTGCCATCGTCGCCCTCCTTTTGTCGTCCCCTATCCCCGACGCCATGATTTCTTCATTGCGTGGATCCCGGAGGTCTCGACCTCTTGATTCGCACGTGTACCAGTTTTCCATCCTAGGTCGATCTTGAGCGTCTCTGTGGCGGATGTGTATCTGGAGGCCGATTGTTGCCAAACACGGGCCGCCGTGATTTTTGTTCGCGACGCGAGAGGGTCTGGGTCCTTAATAATTCTCATCTCCCAAACTGTCAATATGCAGGCCTCCCCACGGGGTCCGAGCAGATGGCGCCCGGGGATCGCTGATCCCCGAGCCTCCCAGGCTCATCGGCCTCCGGCCTTCACTCCGCCCAGCTCCAAGAACAGTGTCTGCACAGACACAGGCTCTCGGAGGCTCGCACAGGTCTCTGAGATCGGCGCCTCGCGCCAGGAAGGGGAGGGGGCGCCGATCCAAGAAGTCTGCTCGGACATTCGAACATCTACAGTGGAAGTCCATAGTAAGGACGGGCAGGAAGGACGCAAGGGCCTTGGACGCCGAAGTTGGCACTTTTTGGGAGTCGGACTGCCAACATCCTTAAGGGCTGGCCAGTAAAAACCGCGAAGGACGGGCCGCAGAGGCACGGACGCAAGGGTACCTACAGTGCCGTTTTTAATGCGTGCTCCGCGTGCGGATCATGTATTAAAGATGCATGAGTTCATGCATCAGTTTAGTCATAACTTAGTCATGCATTAAAAACAAATCCCATGTTTTTGTTAAAACAACAATTCCTATGTATTCAAAGCTGCCCTGTACATCTGCACGTCCTTACTTGGAGTCTTGGCTGCACGGCCAGGGACGCTGAGGCAAGGACCGCGTCGGCCTCAAGAGGGGCCCTGTTCTTCGGGCCGCCCCCGAGGTCCAGGCCGGGCAACTTTTCGTTTCGTGGCCGGGGCGTGCCGTGGCCAGAGGAGCCCCGTCGTTCCAGCAGTGGCGAGGCGTCCTGGCTCAAGGGCTCCCTCGAGGGCGCGAAGTTATTCGCGCTTCGCGCTTCGCGGTCCTCGTTCCTTCTCCCCCTCCTCCTCGTCCTCCTATTCTCCTTTTGGGAGGGCGGCGCGAGAGCGCGAAGTTATTCGCGCTTCGCGCTTCGCGCAGCGCGAAGCGCGAAGTTGGGAGCCCTTGTGGCTCGCCTACAGCCCTACCAGACAATGCTCTGAGAACCTTTCGTGGTTGCCACGAAATGTTCTCCGAACAGTTCTGGCGGAGTCTGTCGTGTTTTAACACATCGGGTTCATGTTCTAAGAGCATCGTTTTTTTGCTCTTAGAGCATTGCTTGGTTCGAAGAGCACTTCGTGGTAGGACTATAGGAATGCCGGGACGGTCGGTCCATGCTCAAGTCGTTCCTCATGCATCGTTCTTGGTGGTAGCATTACGTCGGGCCTGTCCTTCTACAGGAGGGCTATTCAAGAGTAGGCAAAAAATAGTCTGTGGACGACTCTTCGATTACTTACCATTATTGGGCATTTGTTGGCGATTTGTTCGCCCAACCTCCGCCTGCAGGGGGACATGCCCGACCTGATGGTAGTGCGATGGCTGCGTGCTTCTGCAGGCTTTCCTCCTCCCCGTTTCGGCGCTCGAGAGGCCCTGGCGTGGCCTCGCAGACGAGAGTGGGGCGGGAGCCCGGGAAGTCAGGAGGCAATGCCCGAGAGGTGGAATTCAGAGTCGGTGCTGGCAGATCCTTGGTCGATCACCAGCCTAGTGGGGCCGAATCTCATTTCCTCTGGGCGACGCCCGCCGAATCTGGCTCAGTCCCGCTCAGTCCGGCTTCATCCCGGGCTCAGCCTGACCTAATTCGGCTCAGCGGTCCCTCAACCGGGCTCACTGGCCCCTGCTATTCCTGACGAAGGACCTCCCCGGCCGTGGAGGGAGGCGAGAGGCGAAGGTCGTGGAGGGAGGGAGTGGCCAGCTCTTCGGGCAGCTGGGCGGGGAGGGCAAGCGGAGAGCGGGTGCGAGGCGGCGGGGGGGTGCTGTGCATCTTCAGGGTACCTTCTCAGTCCTTGATTCCGGCGTGGGTTCGACGCGGGTTCGACGTGAATCCAGCGTGGGTTTGACACGGATTCGACGCGCTCGGCACAGCTTCGACACGACTGCGACATGGATGGCTGGCGCGACGGGACGGACGAGTTCTGCGGAAGATGTAACATAAGGGGGACAACTTTTTCGTTGTCCAAACTGTTTGATCGCGACCAGCGGTCTCGGTTGTTCCGTTACCGCCCGAAATTTTCAGTAACGAATGCCAAGCGCGACCGTTCATTCCACAAAGTTTTGACTGATTTTTGGTGGGGGAGGGCGGAGACGCACTTGGGGGCTCAACGGCTTCGGCTTTCCTTCCACTCGCGCCCGATCTTGCAGTCTGCTTCGGGGGAGCTTCCTCCGAAAGAGCGCGTTCTGTGGTCGTTTGGAGGGAGGGGGGTTTGGAACTGGACCCCCCCCCTGGATGGAGGGGGGGGTTTTTGACAGCTCCAGACTGGATGTGTATGGCGGCCTTTCGGCCTTCAAAGGCTTCGAAAAGGAACCGCTCTCATTCCGACTCCGTTTCGCTCCTCCGTTATCCCTCTCTCTCTGTCTCTGTCTCTCTCTCTCTCTCCCTCTCTCTCTCAGTCTTCCTCCTCCTCCTCCTCCTCCTCCTCCTCCTCCCCCTCCCAATCAGAATCCCCTTTACGGAGCAGGATCAAGCAAAACCCTTGGACAAACAAACAACAACAACAACAAAAAAACAATCCTGAGGCGAGATTCGGGGGCGAGGGGGGGGGAAAGGTCTCCTCAGGTTTTTTTTTTTTTTTTTTTTTTTTTTGTTTTTTTTTTTTTTTTTTCTTTTTTAGTGATTAGTTTCTTTTGTTGTTTTGGTTTTTCCCAGGGTTCTGCTGGAATCCGCCCCCGATAATGGAATCCGATTGGAGGAGGAGGAGGGGAGGAGGGAGGAGGGGAGGAGGAGAGGAGGAGGAGGAGGAGGGAGGAGGAGAGGAGGGGAGGAGGAGGAGGAGGAGGAGGAGGAGGAGGAGGAGGGAGGAGGTGGAGGAGGAGGATGAGGGAGGAGGAGGAGGAGGAGGAGGAGGAGAGGGAGGAGGAGGAGAGAGGAGGAGGAGGAGGAGGAGGAGGTGGAGGAGGAGGAGGAGGAGGAGGATTAACGACGCTCCACACCTGGTTTTGCAAGTATTGAGTTCCTCCTCGATTCCGTCTTGCTCCTCGCCCTC